TGCTTGATAATATTTCCAGTACTTAAACGGTTATGTTATCATCAGATTTCTAAGGCTCCATCAGCTTAAACATTGGTAACATTTTAGGCATTACCTAATATGTTGATAATACACATGAAAAATTAAGTAATTAACCTATTTTGTTATCGTCAAATTTCTAAATCCCCATCAGATTTAAAAATGTGCAACCTATTACGTTACATAAGCGCTACGTAATATGTTATTATTCTTGATAATGTTTACAGTAATTAACATGTTATGTTATCGCCGGATTTCTAAGGCTTCATTAGCTTAAACTTTGGTAACATTTTAGGTGTTACCTAATATGTTTATAATACTCTTAACAAATTAAGTAATTAACCTATTTTGTTATCGTCGGATTTCTAAGGCCCATCAGCTTTAAAAAGGTGCTACCTAATATGTTATTATACTTGATAATGTTTCCAGTAATTAATCGGTTATGTTATCGTCAATATTTGTTGACGCATTTTACATAGAAAGATAACATAACCGGTTATTACCATTATTATTACCTACTAAAATAATATTTTCGGTGAAATCATATAACATTTATGATATCGATTTTAATCGGTCACTTATTTAAACATTCATGCCATTTTTTAGTCGTATTTTAACCGCCTTACAGCAGAACTTCCCGTGCCTATCCTTGATTAACCTGGATAATCCCAACTACAGAACCTATTTCAGCCACGACTTGTGGGAGACTCTATTCTACAGACTGTTTGGCAAGGTTCAAGTACACGATTCAAGGGAACATATGGAAAGGGATCGTAGTTGCATAAAACATAGTGGGATTCTGAGAAAGAATAGACTTATCCATTTAATTGTTAATTTACCTATTACTTGAAAGTAATAGGTTTCGAAATTCCAAGTATCGATACTCCAAGTACCGGTATAACGTAGGCAATTAGTGCATTGACACCCCATTGACGATTTTCATTGCTTTACCTCTTTCAAGTGCATTGTAGATGTCTTTATGTGTAAATCCAACATTCTGATAACCCATATATAAAGAGCATTGTAGAAGTAAAAGGTAAATTTACAATGTACACGGTAAAAGTAAACCGGTATAATGATAATAACGTAAACTTTTGTATATGTATCAATATTTTATTATATTTCTCGAAACTTTAATTCCACATTAAGGCTCAAAAAATATGCATGCAAAATGTACTGATACACACACATACACACACACACACACACACACACAAATATATATATATATATATATATATATATATATATTTATAATTTCGAAACCTATTACTTTAAAGCAATAAGTTAATTTCCAATGAAAACGGTTAAAGTCAATTGGTATCATGATAATATGCATAAATAATGTACACGATAATATGTTGATAAAGCTTGATAACAAAATCAATTAATTAATTGGTTATGTTATCGTCGGTTCTAAGACTCCATCAGCTTTAACTTTGGTTAATTCCACATAAATGATCAAACAATCTGCATGAAAATGTATCGATATATATATATATATATATATACATTTTAATTTCGAAACCTATTACTTTAAAGTAATAGATTAATTTCCAATGAAAACGGTTAAAGTCAATCGGTATCATGATAATATGCTTAAACAATGTACATGGTAATATGTGGATAAAGCTTGATAACAAATAAAGTAATTAACTAGTTATATTATCGTCGGATTTGATAGGCTCCATGAGCTTAAACTTTAACATTTTAGGCATTACCTAATATGATGATAATATTGATAACAAATTAAGTAATTAACCTATTTTGTTATCGTGTGGTTTCTAAGGCCCTATCAGCTTTAATAATACGCTACCTATTACGTTACATAATCACTACCTAATATGTTATTATGCTTGATATTGTTTCCAGTAATTAACCGGTTATATTATCGTCGGATTTCTAGGCTTCATCAGCTTAAACTTTGGTAACATTTTAGGCATTACCTAATATGTTGATAATATTGATAACAAATTAAGTAATTAACCTATTTTGTTATCGTTAGATTTAAAAAGCCCCATTAGCTTTCAAAAGGCGCTACCTATTACGTTACATAAGCGCTACATAATATGTTATTATGCTTGATAATGTTTCCAGTAATTAACCGGTTATGTTATCGTCAGATTTCTAAGGCTCCATCAGCTTAAACTTTGGAAACATTTTAGGCATTACATAATATATTGATAATACTCATGACAAATTAAGTAATTAACCTATTTTGTTATCGTCGGATTTCTAAAGCCCCATCATCTTTAAAAAGGTGCTACCTATTACCTTACATAAGCGCTACCTAATATGTTATTATGCTTGATAATGTTTCCAATAATTAACCGGTTATGTTATCATCGAATTTCTAAGGCTACATCAGCTTAAACTTTGGTAACATTTTAGGCATTACCTAATATGTTGATAATGCTCATGACAAATTAAGTAATTAACCTATTTTGTTATCTCGGATTTCTAAAGCCCCATCAGATTTAAAAAGGCACTACCTATTACGTTACATAAGCGCTACGTAATATGTTATTATGCTTGATAATGTTTCCAGTAATTAATCGGTTATTTTATCGTCGGATTTTTAAGGCCTGTTCAGCTTAAACTTTGGTAACATTTTAGGCGTTACCTAATTTGTTGATAATACTCATGACAAATTAAGTAATTAACATATTTTGTTATCGTCGGATTTTTAAGGCCCCATCAGCTTTAAAAAGGCGCTTACTATTATGTTACATAAGCCCTACCTAATATGTTATTATTATTGATAATGTTTCCAATAATTAACCGATTATGTTATCGTCAATATTTTTTGACGCATTTTACGTAGTACGATAACATAACAGGATATTACCATTATTTTTATCAACTCAAATAATATTTCCAGTGAAATCATATAACATTTATGATATCGATTTTAATCGATCACTTATTTAACCATTCATGTCATTTTTAGCCTATTTTAACCGCCTCACAACAAAACTTATCGAGCCTATCCTTAACTCTGAAAAAGATTATGGTAAAGTAAATTAGTCAGTGAGTTATGCTTATATAATATATTCTATCATTGAACTTTTAAAAAGTTTAAAAATAATTATTAGATTATTATAAAATAGTCACTATAAAATGATAAAATTTGATAAAATTAATGATCATTTGGTAATAGTTTGATATATTTAATTATAAGTTTGTATTTTAAAGTCACATGATGAAATTTGAGCATATTTAAATGATCTCTTGCGGAGTTTACCCAAATATTTACTCATTTTGATTTGAAGAATTTGACGCCAATTGACAGATGATTATTGGGAAAGAAGTAAATCGCTTCCTCCCTCGCCGTAGTGAAAAATAAGAAGAAACCAACTTTCTTCACCGTCTGCCATAACGCGTGCATAACACGATGCAAAATCAATGCACACATCAGAACCCACGCGCCCTCAAGGCGATCATGAACAACAAGGAACAAATAAAGCAACCAGCGAGAGAGCGACATATCTCCGACACAAATAAAAGCAGTCGCCTTGCGCGGGCGTTTTTTAACTCGCTCTTCTTTGCTTCCAATTTCTTTTAACCAATTCGATGTAACGTATACCGTTGACTTATAACCGTCCCAGCCGTCTTAAGGGCATCTAACGGCTCTGCCATCAACGCAAAATCTTGATCGAGTGTATTACAGAAGAACCCATTAACATTTAACAAGTTGATTTTTGGTTAGTACGATGTACGAGGCAAGACAATTTGGACATGGATGTCTCGGGTGAATGAATATAGAGTTAGATAAATTATGCATATAATGTTTATTTATATTTATTTATTAAGTGAAATAAATGAATATTAAGAAAACTTTTATGTTAAATTATCAAACGAACGAACACGAACAGACATATATTCGATTCATTTATATTCATGAATAAACTCGTTTATAAACTTGTTACTAATTTTCCTTTCTCTTTTATTTGTTTACATTTTAAATATTGATGAAGTAGAAAATAAATTGAACACAAGTTGAATTATGGTATAATTTCACCATTTTCTGAACATGTTAGCCATTTGGCGGTAAGCAAAACAATGGGCAGCAAGCTAGCACTGGGGCATTTGGCAGTTTAACAAAGAGTTTAGCGCTTGGTTTAATTAGCATTTGCTGGTTCACTTTGCTTTTAACCAAATCAGCACTTCATATCAACACAATTTTTTACTTTTTTTTTAACTTTCAGGTCACATCTTCAAAAAAGTAAAAAAAAAAAACTGATTAGCAAAAACAACAGTAAAAGAAGGATTTTACAATAAACAGAAAAGTTTCTGTTTTTATCCACTAGTAATGAGTATGCATCACATCTCCGGGCTTTAATCTTCCAAAACTAGTACATGGAGGAACTTACAATTGATTCCCCATTCTCTCAGTAAAAGAAGATAAAAACAAAAAGTTGTCTTTCTTTGCTGTAATTTTGTGTTAATGGAATTTGGACAAGAACAAAGACTAACAACTTGTAAATTATTGTCAAGCCATGGATGTCTTTTTGAACTGTTAGGAGCCATTATGCTGAACCTGTTGAAACGGGGAAGAGTCATGTGGAAGTTAGAGAAAATGGATTTAGGGGGTTCGGAATTACATCCGAAACCGTAAAAACAGGACAGACTTGTTTTCAGAGAGTGGACGACGACCGTCTTTAATGCCACCATGGTTGGTATGGTTTTGACCCACCTGTGAAAAAGAGGGGACCAATCAATATGATAAGAATAAGAACAAGCAAGAGACCTTTATCTCAAGTAACAGGGAAAAAATGACATGATTTACGGTTAGAATTCCCGAAAACCCGAATTTTACAAGCCAAAATTAAAGATCTGTATGTTACTTGTTAGGGTGAACACCTGAAAGCTATAGGTGCATAACATTTCATATGATTCACCAAAGATGTCCGTATCAATAAAAGCTATAGGTGCATAACCTTTTCTTCCTACTAACACGACCAATCGGGAGTCGGGACAAAGCACACATTAAAGGATTAAAATTACCTTACTGGTTGTGAGAGAGAGCACGGTTAGAATTCCTGAGTGAATTTGAATCGCACTTTCATCATGATATCCTGTTAACAGCTGAAAGTTCTGTGATTTGCAGGAATCAATCAGTAACAGCAAAAGGATATATTCATTTAGTTCCCGGTATAGACGAATTACCTTGCACGACTGTGCACTTAATCCTTTTGCTTGTTATGTAAGTTACCGCATGGAAATATGGATTGTTAAAGATTATCTCAAAAGAAACAAAGTTCGGTATATCCGTGTGGCTGTGGCAACAGCTCTTCAACCTCGATCCTGGCACTGGAACAACTCATGCTTTTGCTCATTCGGCTGAGGTTAATAGACTCAATCTCAGCCGAAAATACACTGTAGACAGGCCTATGATCAGAGAACTTGGACTCCCCACGAACATAAGATAGCTGATATAGGCCTCTTCCATACCACAGTATACGATCACACCTTCAAAAATATCGGGTTGCATAATATTATGATACTATTAGATCAAAAGTAAAAGAACCATGTGGTGGTTTCTTCCTATAGACGTAGAAACATCAAGTAAATAACGAGATAGTACCATGCGGGAGTCCTTCGCTTCTCCCTTGGGTGCCTACCCTCTCCAGCATATCTGTCTGAATTATTAGAGTATTTGTATGTAGGAGGGAAATATATTTTTCCTTCACTCCATCCCTCGAAAACACGGCCTCGCCTCTGCTCTATCCGAAGCTGTAAGACAATTGATTCTTTTCAGATTCTTTGAGGGTTAAGAGCAGATATTGAATCAATTGAGGAAGGATAAGAACATGCCTGGTCATTCTCTAACAGTGCCTTCCAATTGCGCATCTCGACCAGAGCTTTTGCAGAACAGTACGACAGAGCAATCCGATAATTCAAATCCCCGAGCCATATAATACGACTGTGCCAATACATTCAACACAGCATTTTAAGCCAAAGGGAAAAGGCTAACACAAAAATTATAAAGGCTACAATTTCTGGGAAAATAATGTAATAATTTGACATATGAAGGCTTACTCATGCTCTAGAATCGTTTGGGGAGAATTCTTGTCTCCGATACAGTTAACCCTGGGAAACCTTGTCTTCCTTAGGATCTCCATGACATCGGAGTTTCTTCGCAGTTCATCGCCCTCTTTTTGCCCGGATGTTAAATGACTACAGACGAAGCAAAAGCTGGTTTGATGCAAAGACATGCTAATAGAAATGGATCCCTGGAAAACTCAAGAAATGAGTATGCCTCCTCATTTTCTAGTTCAAGAAAATTGCTCGAATCGGAGAAAGGAAAAAATACCTTGTTTCCGAGATATCCCATCAATCCTCTGCCAACACAGGACACTTTCATGTTGCGAACATCCTCTCGAAGATCACTCTTCACCCACACAGTTAGAAATATCCCTACCATTTGCTTGCTGGCAACCAAACAGTACCTTGAATTCCCCATCTGCCTACTGGTTTCCTCCATGACAAAAGATCCACCATATGACATCGGAGAATATTGCGAATATTGAGCATTCCATGGCGAATCCCCCTGTCCGTTTTCATCATCAGAGGAACCCCATTTGAAATTAGGGTCGTAATCACTAGGCCTATGTCCAAATATAACACGATCGCAGACACTGAAGCAGCGGTCGAGCTGGGGTTGCAGCATTGCCATGTCATTATCCATTCTCATGCTGCAGCTCAAGGATTGAAATGATCGGCGGTGAAGGAAAGACGAAGCTTTCTGCCTCGTTGATCCTTCAAAGTCCGAATCCTGTTCCACAAGTGGATCAGGGATCGGCGAAGGCGTGTGGCAACAACCGCTTCTCCCAGGAAGACTATTCAGTGTCTTCCTAATGAGAGCTAGCCATTTCCTAGCCGGTCCATTGTCTTCGGTTCCCAACACATTACCGGCATTCAGAGGGACAATTTCTTGAAAACTACAAGGCCAAATAAAAAATATCCAACAGTCTTCTATCAAACATCATAAAATCCGTTTTTTAAAAGAACTGAAATACAAAAGAAATCTGATTCGGTTCGACATACCCGATAACATAAATGTCAGCAGGAGGAGAAGCATGAAGCCAATCTTCAAGATTCAAATAACTAGGAGGAGATTTTCCAGCCACATTCCATGTAGCTACAAAAATCCTGCAAAACCAAATCCTATTCAGCAAAACTCAACGAAAGTAGAACACCAGAAACCAACTAAGAACACAACACAACACCATACCTATAATCACGCACATCCGTAAACTGCGAAACATTGAGATCGACTTTACCTCTCCGAGCTCCATCCGAACCCCTCTCGCTCGATCTCTCTACCATCCAAAGTAAGTTGATTTGAAGTTCTGTGAAGATGGGAAAGAGATAAAAAGAGAATTGTTGTCCAAAATCCAAACCTGTTTTACTTTTCTTGATGGTGCATGGATCCTTCTCTGAAAAATGGTCCCTCCTATCTTGATCAACACCTGAAAAAAGAAGAGCCAAACAGTTGTTAAAGCTGCTGCAATTCTCTCTCTTTACCAGAAGGGTATCAATTTCACATATTCAAACACCATAAAAAACAAAGATTATGGATTTCAGAACATAAAAAGAGAAGAAGAAAACAAATACTAAACAGATCTTGAGCTGCAAACGTAAAAGTACTAAGTACCAAAAACACATTTTAGTGCAAGTGCCCAGGGTCCAGAAGAATCTGAAATCAATCAAAATCACCTCTATAATCAACATCATCAGCATGAAAGTCCTGAGCTTTACTCTTGATATTGAACCATTTCTTGACCAATGTCTTGGGCCATGAAAGCTTCTTCATCATGGAAAAACAAACAAACACAATACAATCAGCAATCAATCTCATATTTGAACATTAAATTGACAAAAGGAATCAAAATGATGGGGTTTTTTTTTGCTTGTTTCAAAAGAAAAACACCTTTCTGTTCTTGTTGTTCCCACCTCTCATTGCTTCACACACCTTTCATATGGCCCTAACCAGATTTGAAAGCAAATAGTTTTATGAAAAGCTGCTTCTTTTTGGCTCAAACTATGACTTAGGGGTAAAATTCCAAGTTTTTGCTGAATATAATGAGAGAAAAGTGTTGTAACTTTGAATGATGGGTGAAATGAAATGAAGAGTAGTACTCAGTTCCCTCAAGTAATGAAGAGAAAACACAGGTTTTTAACCTGCATTACTGTTGTACTTTGAACCAGGTGAGAAAACAAAAGGACCCAGTCTTTGCTGGTATGAAGAAATCCTAAAGGGAGAAAAAGAAACCACAGAGAGATAGAAGAAGAAGACAAGAACTGAATAAGAGATTCAGAGGTTTAGAACAAGACAATGTAGGGAACACAAAAGGAGATATAGAGATAAAAGGGATGGTCTGGTCTGTTGAAACAATAAACCTCGTTTCAAGGTACAGTGCAAAGTATCTAATTTTGAAGAGAATAAAGTGCAAGAGGAGCCCTTTCTTTAACACCCTCGAAAATCCAAGGCCTCAACCAACTATATCAATGGAGATCTCTCTCTATCTCTTCAAGCTTAGCCTTTGATCGTTAATCTAATACAACACCCTAAGCCTTATATATATATATATATATATATATATATATATATATATATATATATATATATATATATATATATAGAAAGGTCTCATTATGTGTGAACATGGAGACTCTGCTTTCCTTTCTGACATCTCCTGTTTTAATAATCTTCAAAAATGAGCTTAGAACAGATTTGTCTCAACACTCAAGCCTAATTTACAAACATTTCAAGACCAAAACTGGGTCATTAACATGCTTTTGGTCAGTTTTTGAAGGGACTTTTGTGAAGATGAAGGCTGTTATTGGAAGCGTGGGTTTCTGGAGCTTCATATGTAATCCATTGATTATAGGTGAATAGGGCAAATAGGGGAATTTTTGTGCCAAAAGAAAAGGTTGGATCTTCAATGGTTGGCTTTTCTAGAAACAACTTTAGAGGCATTCCATGGATTAAAAAAATACCAAAATAAAATTAAAATATAATATTAGTATGATTTTAAGAAAAATAATTAGATGATCAAAATAAACCTAGAATAATAACTGTGTGATTAAATACATAGTTTATTAAAAGATTAAAACATTGTTAACTTTGTAAGTAGGATCTTGTTAGGGCATTAAAAGGCTGGCTAAAACTTTGGTTCAAGTAGCCCTAGGGTTTTGTGTATTGTTATGATTTGTACAAAAGTGAATTCTTAGTGTCTGATTTGTTCAAATGAATAATCTTTAGAAAACACATGTAGAAATTGTGTCCGCTTCATTAAGCAACCCCATTATTTCTCCATTTTCCAAGCTCTTATCAATCACACAACTCAATATTTTAAGTGTATACGTGTACTTTAACTCTTTTTTTAATTAAGGTGTTCTGATTAGGATTAAATCAATAAAGTCGACAGAAAATTAATTTTCTTTTCAAAAAATGATATAAAAATATATTAATGGATCTAGAAATAAAAAAATAAGATCTAAAATTTTAATATTCTTTCTTTTTAAAAATAAGTATTTATATTTTTTTTCTCCTCCGTTAATATATGAACTAGATTTTCTAAAATAATGGATATGCAATTAAAGATGAACATGAGATTCGAACTCGACAAGTTCTGACCTGACCCTATTAGTCAATTTTTTTTAAAAAAATGAGTTCGGGTCGCATTCTGATTTAAGATGAAAAATATATGACCTGATCCAAAAAATAATGTAATTATACAATATATATTTAGAGATTATTGTAATAATTGCCTCTATATTATTTTTTTAATTAGATCTCTATTTTTATAGAATAAAAATATTTTTTTAATATATATATATATATTTCGGGTCGGGTTGAACGAGTTCAAATTTTATCTAAAAAGGCAGGTCGAATGAAGCCATCCTAAACTCAAGTAGAGTCGGATTTCGAGTGGAGGATTTATATTTTAGGGTCGGGTCATGTTGGTCGAAAACCTGACCCATGTCTATCCCTATATGAAATTACTTCATATAGAGCTTAGTGCATGCATCCTAGGGATGAAAGCGAGACTTGAACCGACTCTATTAGGTTAGGTTTTTTAATTAAAATTTTGGATTCGAGTCAGATCGGATTGGATTTTTTAGATGATAAATTCGGGTCAAATTCGGGTTCGAATCAAATTATCAATATAATTGTGTCAGGTCAAATTTAGGTTCAAGTTTTATCTCAAAAGAGGAGTCGAATTTCAGGTTGGATGAAGTCTCTAAACTCAAGTCAGGTCAAGTTTCGATTGTATGATTTACAGGTCAAATCGGATTGATCGAAAAGCCAACCATATCCGACCCATACTCATCCCTAATCCGCCCTCGTAAATGCGTTCATATGGATGGATCAAATTAAAAAAAAAAATTCAAATGGACGAAATCAGATTCAAACAATGTCTACATTAGTGTAAGCCAGTGATGAAGGTAAGGGGTCCACCAGCAGCATTGATGTATCCATTTGGTCCGAATTATAAGTTGTCGAAAACTCATTGTTGTCTAGGCTGAAAGGCTTTTTCTTCGTGATTACCATCTCATCAACAAGATTAAGACCAGTCATTTGTTTGTCTCTCTTTTGATTATGTCTTAGGAAACTTAATTATCCTGTTCTGTAAAAACCATAATGTTAGTTAAACCCAACACAACATTAGCTCATGAAAGCTAAAAGAAATCCGGCCCAAACGCTTTTTTTCTTAACCTCTTTTGAAAAAAGGTAAATTTTGTATTTAGTCATTCAACTATCATTTTAATTATGTTTTAATCATTCAACTATTTATGTTTTCAAATTATCAGTAATTTATGTTTTGATTTTATTTTAGTCATCATCCGTTAAAAAATTAATAGAACAACTGACATGACATTTTATTTTATTTTTTTCAATTATGACTTGACATTATCATATTGTGACACATCAACATCACTGTTAAGCTTTTAATGATAGGTGACTAAAATAAAACCAAAACATAACATCAATGATGATTTTGAAAAAACAATAGTTAAGTGACCAAAAGAGAACCAAAGTGACAGTTGGATGACTAAATACGTAGTTTACCAAAAAACACAAACTTCAAATAATTGGGTAAATGCTAATTTTGGGGCCGAAACCCCTCTTTGATTCATTATTATATATCACTAACATCAAATTTAATCAAGATCCGATATAACTAAGTTAAAAAGAAAAAGGTAACTTAAAAAAAAAAGAATTGGCCTTTGGATTCCATAGGGTTAGGAGAAGTGGCAATCTCTTAAGCTACCTCATAATCTCATATATAAACCCACACAGGTTTTAGCAAGCAACCGTTTTTAATGAATGCGCTAAGCCTTCTTATTAAATTACCAGACAACACAAAATTAATCCATTTTCTATTTTGAGTACATCTACTTTAATGCTTCCCTCATGTTATTGTTGTTAGCTTTTCTTCTTTAGTCTTTAAATTTTCTTATAGTTATTGATATTTAATTTACTAACATTAAACTGACTTGGATATTGAGATGATCACTCAATTTTCCGTATACACAACATTGACCTTGACCTAATAGATCATCCTACTAGATTAATCGGTAGTTAAAGCTCCCTCCCGCTAGACTAACTAATACTTAGCTCCTCATCGACAAACAAATGAGGGATTTTCTTTATAATACTTTTGTGACGGCCACATGAATTCAGTTTATTTGTAGCAGTCGACATCATTGACACTAACTCAACAACATTGTGATAAGCAGCACCATGTTCTTTCTTCAAAATCTAACAACTCAAAAGAAATCGGTTTCACTTTTGTGAAAAACAATTTCCCAAATGGGTTCACAAAAGGCACTAAAATCCATAGCTTCTTACAAACCGGTAGGTTTTTAGAGAAATTAACCACTTTACCTTTTCTCTGCACTCATACATACATTTCCGCACATTGGATGTTAGGCAGGTTTCACCCAAAAAGCGACGACCAATGCTTGTGATCACTATATTCTCAAGAAAATGATCACTTTCCAGCATATCAAATATGAAAATCAGATTCCTACTAATGAAATTTTCCGAGCAATACGAGTACTTTATAATGTACACGCAAAACACCCAATACCCAAGTATTTAACCTTCGACAAAACTACAGCTAGAACCAAAATAAGAACTCAAGAAACAAGAGGGGTTGTCTGTTAGTCAGATCCCTTATAGCTTATAGTTCCCAAAACCCGAAACAGATACAAGATGAATGCTCATAGTGAAACGAAAATACTGGCTGCTACAACAGAAAGTGGGAGATCCAAAGATGTTAGGCAAAGCTTGTGGGAGGTATTCTCTTCAGACTAAAAGTGGGAAAGAAGTTGCTAATTTCTGCTTGGGTGCTGCAGGAGATCTATGGGAAAGTGTCCTGTAGATGGCTTTGATAGTACTTGGAGTAGTTCTACAACAACCTCCTACAAGCGAAGCCCCAACCTCGCACCATTTGTTTACGTATGAGATGAAATCTTCATCCTTGACTCCTGTATTTTGCTGTCAACAAAAGAATGATGCAGACCATTAAGGATCCACTTTAACACTAGAACAAATGAATTACCGAAAAATCAGTATACTTCGGCTTCCTTTTCCAATTATTTTGCAATTTCCTGTACACTTACGTCCTTCCTTGAGTTTCCTTACAGCCAAATGAAAATACAATTTTATGAAGTGTATTTTAAAGTATGCAGAAAATAGAATTTCCTTACAACTTTAAGTGGTAGCACTTCATTTCATGTTGCAAAGTTCAGAATTAGCAATCAATAAGTGTTTCTTGATATCATGTTGGAAAACAACTTTAAAATTGCAGTTATATTGGGTATATTTTCTTTAATGAGACCCTTTTGGTTCAAATAAGGCGTTCCTACAGATTTCAGACCCTTTTTTCATATAGGGGATATTCCATGTATCGTCTAGAGAGAAAAAATAATATAAACTTACCACCCATTCCTTCCGATCAGCATCATACCTCTCGCCACTATTGGGATAAATAACAATTGGTTTGGCAGTGGCCTGCACAAATTATTAACCAAATAAGTTGGTTGAATCCATCAAAATTCCTAGACTACAACATTACAGGAACAAATTCTTCACAGATGATAAAAAAAGAAAAAAAAATGTAAAAGAAAAGGAGAGAACCAATTATTTGCTAAACCATGTGCAACAAAAAGGTGAGAAAAGAGTATAATTTTGAATCCAGAATGGTTATCAACAAAATAAGAATAGAAAAACCAAAACCTTCTTGATTGCTAAAATCAGATCATGAATAAATCTAGGAGGCGTGCAGTTGATTCCAACGGCAACAACTTGTTTGCAGGATTCAGCAATTGATGTGCACTGAAGCAAAGAATCACCGCTAACTACATTGACACCATCTTTTGAGTTGAAAGTAAATCATGCAGGAATCTTTAAGTGTTCTTCCTCTAACAGTTCAGCATAAGCCTGTATGAAGAGCCTCCAAAATCTTATTAGGAAGAAACAAATTAAACAACAAAGTAGACATAGAGCACTGGATCAATAACACCTTACTAACCAATTCAGGGAACATTTAGGGCATGCAAGACATGAAATTCAATATTTAGTTTTTGTTCCTCGTACACTTCTTAATTTTATCTTAAGGAAGAAGGTATCATTAAGAATCAAATATTCAGCTATACCTGAGCTTCTATCTTGTTTGGAATTGTTTCAAATGCTATTAGGTCAGGACCTGCTCCTGCCAGGACCTGAACCCTTCTGCGATGAAATTCTTTCAAAACTTTCACCGTCACTGCATCACCATAGTACCCACCGGTATAGAGAATATATCAACAAAAAAGGACACATGTAAATATGTACTAAATTTAATGATTTTCATTTTACACAAAAAGATAACAGATTGTGGCGGATAGCCTAAAGCAACAAGATTAGATTTGGATTAAACATTACTTAAGGACATCTGCATAGAGATTATTGACACACCTGTACTCAGAACCATCAGCCAAATAAGCCCCATAGCTGCCTACAGACGCTGCAACTAAGATTGGACGCTTTTTTAGTATCTTACCATCACTAGAACTTTTACTACATCTTTCATAATACATTTGCCTTGCCTCAAGGGCAGTTTCCACGCTTTTTTTAAGCAATGATTCACTTTGTTCTCCGGAAAAGCCTTTCGCTTCGAACCCCTGAATCGTGGCCTGTTAAAGATACATAAATTTGCATCAGTTTGGCGAGAGAGAGAGAGAGAGAGAGAGAGAGAGAGAGAGGAGAGGGAGAAATGTTATATCTGATACCTGATAGGATGCTGTGATAATAATATCTGCACCAGCTTCGAGGTAGTCAAGGTGTACCTGCTCATAATAGTTTGGTAAATGATCTAGAAAAGCACTCTAAACATCACATGCGGTCGATTTAATTCCATTATTCTTTTAACAGATGCTGCAAAGTGACATGAATATTCACAAAAATCATGGATAATCTAATCTGGCCAGATAAATCAATCAACTTAACAAGCGCAAAACAGAGAAGCAATCATATGGATTGCTTGTTCAGCACCTCAACTTTAATCATCAATACATTATGGCATTAATCTTGTTCAGTTGGACCTTGCATACTTGGATAGTATAATTATCTCGAAATTGTGTTAAGTAAAATGAACCCTCCCACATGGGTTAATAAGCCTAGAAGAGAACTAAACTTTCAAAAATCCAAATCCTAGTATCATGTTTATTTGTTTCCCCTTTCTATGATTTCTGAGAGAAATTGAATGCAGACATGGACTACTGACAACAAACTAAAAAAAGGTCAATTCTTTCATCACAATATTAAAATAAGCAATATGGCAGCCCAAACTCAAGCAATTGCTCATAACATTTACCTCTTTGCATCAGTAAAATTTATATAGAAAACAGTAAAACTCAAAACTGAATCGTGACCAATAACCCTTAAATGCCAATGACTTGACTCGCCAGATCAAAACTGGACCACCTCCACACTGTGGTCCAGTGTTATACACATGCATATATAGATATATATATACACTACACTGCATCCATAGCAAAACGGGACAAGTTCTTTTTCTTTGTCATTTTCTATAATCAGAGCCTATTTCAGTTCCATATGAAAATAGATCATAACGCCAGTAGCGCAACAGTGAAAATTCCCAAAAAGACCTCCACCAACCATTCCTCTTCCTTCCACCAAAATGAAAACCTACTTGCATGCACCAAAAACCAGTTCCCAACTTCCAAGTTCCTATTATAAACCACATTGAATTGTATACAAGGTGTAACTAAAAAAATAAAGATTGAAAAAAAGTAAATTTGAAAGATAAGAGAAGAGAAAAATTACGTAGCGAATAAGGTGAGGAGAAGTGAGAAGGCATTTGGCACTCCAGAGAGGATCGTTGAGGTCAGCACCGTGGCGTTCCAGCTCCGTCGCCAGTCCGCCATCGATAACTGCGACGCCTCCCGTCTGGCGGAGGAACTCCTTCATCAATGAAGGTGTCGCCGGGATGTTGAAAGCCTCCATTTCTTTGTTATCGTTTTCTGGTTTCCGCTGGAACTTTGAGTTTTTTTTTTTTTTTACAAAGGAGCTTGACGATATTCGGATGACTTGGAGCTCTCGCTCGCCCGCCCGCCATCGCAAACCTACTTATACAGAACCAACATGTTTACACTTTGGCCCCTATAATTTTTCAATATTACAATATTTACCATTCCAAAGTGTTTTATTCCCATTTACTTCACATGTTTTTCAATAATTTACTTTACCACCATGTTTGGTGAGCGTCATATTAACAAATATGATTAAAAAAACACATGTATATCATTAAAGCATAATTTCATTGGATGTTAAAAGAATAATATAAAAATTGAGGAACAAAACACCAACTTAGAGAGGATATAATTGTAAAATTAAGCAAGATGAGTGGACAAGGCCATCATCTCCCCTGCCCTGTCGTCTTTTGGTGAGCGATGAGAAATGACAATAAATCTCGCCAATGGAACATCAGGATAAGTCCGAGGTCTTTTTTCTAATATGTCGTTACGGACATCAAATTTTATATGCCAACTTAAAAATTTAAGTTAAACATATAGAAACTTGATCTTTCTATCTATCATTGTCGATCATTATTTTGGTTAATAAAATTTAATCCTTAAAAATAAATTAAAAAATCATCACAAATTAAATAATATATTTTTAAAGATATTTTATATAACTGTCGGTTAATAAAAAAAACATGAACTAAGAGAGATGGAAATCCTTTAATAAAAAAAGTGTGAAAATATAAGGATTAAAATTTTAAAATACAAAAACCTGATAACTTGGGAATTGGGATGTGTGTGGTCCATTACCTTCCAAGTGCATTTGTTAGTCATGATGTCACCGACAAGCAAAGCAATCAGAATATGTGTTAGCACGTTAAGATATCCTTAAAAGTTATAAGCTTCAACGGAAAGCCAAGGCACTGCTCTGCTCCACGCTTCGCCTCACGGTCATTAACCGTCAAGGTGAGTTTTATCGGCCATCCCTCTTGGCCCCGTCATAACCGCGTTAACAGTCATCGTCGTTTTAGCGAGTTTTCATGAAATTCACAAGCTTTAACTCGCAATGTCACCCGCTGCCGGTTCCCCAAATTGAATATGAAATTATTTTATTAATTCATCGTTAATTATTAATTTGATTTGGAAATTGGTTTATTGGGGATTTGATTCGGCGTCGTAATTTTGCAGGAAATATCGAACCGAGAATCAAGTTACCGTCACCGCTACTCACGAATATCGAACTGAATCGTATAGGTCGTGTCGACCGTGAGCGATAGCTGACACATTTTAGTATGTTAAATCCGCAATTAATTTTAGAATAATTTATTTATTTAAATTATTTGTCGTAGGTACTGATTCGGATCGACCTACTGCTCGAGCTGACTGTGGTACATGTTATTATCGTCGCTAGCTATCTGTCGAGGTGTGTCGAGGTGTGTCTCTGATGGTGTTATATTAAATTTTGTGTTTACTTGATTGTTTGGTATGTACTGTTAAATTGTGAGATTGATTGTTCTGTGAAATTGGTTGAAATTGTTTGCATTAAATTCAGATAAATATTGTGTTGTATGTCAATATGTCGGATTCGGAATATATGTTGTGAATTTGGAATATCTGATTATTATGATATGTCAAACAACAATTGTGTTATGTGTAACGTGTTATTTATCGGATTCAGATTATGCTATGTGTTTGGACTCTAGAATCATGTAATTGCATTCTTGTTCAGATCAAATCGAAATTTGGATACGATATTCGAGTATATGCTATTCGAATATGTGCCATTTGCATTGAATCATATTTCATATATATGTGCCATTTGCATATCATATTGGGACGATTTCTTATAGTGGAAGTTCAATGCACTCACTCGACGGGGTGAATATCACTTTTTCAGATTCAGTGGTATCTGTCTTTGTGACAGACCCCACTCACATGGTGTGTTTGGTTGGTATATAATGTGGTTATGGGGAACACACTCTTCGGATAGTGTGTTAGGAGTACGGGCGGGTGTATGAGCATTTACATCACATTTAAACTGTCATTACTGTTCATATTTTGGCGTATGAATATTACTGTAAATGCTTCAGACTATGCTTTTACTTGTGATTGATTGCACTGTATAGACATGCTAAGCCTTGTAGCTTACTCCCCATAGTTTCCCTTTCAGATACTTGAACTTAGGAGATTCGGCACTTAGAAAATCACATTCAATATTCAGTTAAAAACATTATTTCAGCATGAATTTTTATTTATATTATTTTTGGATTATCTGATTTGTAAATTTGGGATTTTGGACATTATAGTATTTTGAAACGTTTTTGCATGATACGGAAATAATTATTATTTATATAATTTTTTTTGAATATTTTATTTTAATAAATTATGAATTATTAACTTGAGATTTGTTAGTGTACTATAAATATTATTTTAAGTTTAAAATGGTCATGGCATACTTGGGGGAAATTGATTTAAATTAGACTCTCTAAATTCGATATAATTTCTTTTAGGTTGGATTTAAGGGTAACAATTAGTGGTATTAGAGTCTCGTTCAACCATCGGACTGTGTGGCACAGTCATACTTGGGGGAAATTGATTTAAATTAGACTCTCTCTATTTGATCTAATTTCTTTTAGGTCGGATTTAAGGGTTATATTTAGTGGTATTAGAGTCCGGTTCAACCCTCAGACTGTGTGGCACAACCACAAAAATTTTAACTTCAAATTGTACTGTTTGGACTGCATAAAATATCTTCGAGTCGGATTGGGAATCTTTGAAATAATTATATGATACTATAACTTCTTGATTCCTTTATATTTTATTTTTCAAAACTCCAATTACCAACATTAATGTTAGGTCTTTGACTCTTGTAAATAGTTTTTATGGCACCGCATAGGAGTTCACGATTAGCATTTGGCCACGGTCGTATTGCATCGTCTGAAATTAACCCTTCACCTCCCGTGGCCAGACCCAAAATCCGAATCAAGTTGATGAGACCGAGATTGATAAGCAACCTACGAATCATATAGAAGTTCATCAGGTAAAGAATGGAAACATAATCGCACCTCAGACTCAGAGTGAGGGATCATGGGAATCTGAGGTCAGTGAGACTGTTGAGTTAGATAGTGCTTTGGTGAATCGGGAACTACTTCGTTATCTCCATCAAACTGAGGGTGTTAGGAAACTCATATCGATCGAGTTCTTAACTGCTGGGATGATTGTGTTTGTGAGTAAGACCGAGACTGATCCCGCTGATGCTGAGGACTGGCTGAAGAAGTTGCAGAGACTGTTTGAGGAAATGGATTATCCGATTGAATGTATTTTGAGGGTTGTCATATCACAGTTAGACGGTGAAGCTCAGGACTGGTGGGAATCCGAGAAGGATACCGTTGCGGTCGGACAAGTCACTTGGGAGCATTTTCGTTAGGCATTTCAAGATCGCTATATGGGGGCTGAGTATTTGGCAAAGTGTCAAGAATATTTTATGAATCTAAGGTAGAATTATATGTTTGTGACTGACTATGAGATTGAGTTTGTGAGATTAGTCAAGTATGATTCAGGGTTGGCTTCGAATGAGAAGGAGAAGTGTGATTGATTCCTAAAAGGTCTCCGCCATTCGATTCGTTTAACGGTTGCCTTACACCATGACATTGTGCTAAATACTTTAGCTTGTCGAGCCAGAACTGTTGAAAAGAGTGAGTCATTATCTGTGAGTCCTAAACCCTATTATTTTAATAGAGCTCAGAGGCAACCACGATCACTTACTCAAGCGGGCTTTATGAATCAGTTTGGGAAAAGATCGAGAGTTGATGCGAGTTCTCAGGGTTATTCTAGAGCAAGACCGGTGATACATGTTTCTCTGACTGTTAGTGCTGACAGTTTGGCTGATGATTATGAGATACCTCTGTGCTCTTACTTAACAAGAGGCATCCTGGAGAGTGTTGGACGAGAATTGGAGCGTGTCTTCGTTGTGGGTCTTTAGAGCATTGTTTCAAGGAGTATCCTCTTTTGGGTTCTGGTTCCTATGGTCCTATTCAATCTCATGCTTCAGTTCAGGCATCGACCCAAGTTAGGGATCAGAGTAGACCGAATGGTTCTGATTATAGTTCGACTAGTAGAAGTAGACCAACTCAGAGTAGGGGTTCAAATAGGTCTGCAGGAAGACAAACTGGGTCGTTTTATACTACTCGGAGGTATGAGGATCGAAATGAATCAAACGATAATTAAGGTATTTTCTTAAGCCATTCAATTTCTATTTTGGTAAATTTCGACGAAAAAATTTTCGTTTAAGAGGGGAGAATTGTAACACTCTAAATAATTCCCAATGCGAAACCCTAAAATTTTGGGGAAATTATTTAAATCCCTAATTTCTATTTGATAGCCAAATTGCAAAATTGGAAAGATTGAATCCAATTTCGTGAAAGCTAGACAGTTTGATGACCAACCTTGCAATTAGACCAAAGTTGGTTTAAAACCAATTCTAAGTCTTCTCCCCCACGCGGCTTTGTTCTCCTTTATTTATTTTCTTTGCACAAACCCTTTGTCGTAACCCTAGCTGTGCCCCACACTCCTCCACGCTTCGCCTCGACGTGGTTAACCATCAAGGTGGGTTCTTCGGTCATCCCTCTTGACCCCGTCGTAGCCCCATTCGCAGTCATCGTCGTTTGAGCGAGATTTCGTGAAACCCGCGAGCTTTGACTCGCAATATAACCCGATGCCGGTTCACTCAAATTGAATATGAAATTATTTTATTAATTCGTCGATAATTATTACTTTGATTTGGAAATTGGTTTATTGGGGTTTTGATTCGGCGTCGTAATTTTGCAGGAAATATCGAACCGGGAATCGAGTTACCATCACCGTTACCCACAAATATCGAACCGAATTGTATATCTCGTGTGACTGTGAGTGATAGCTGACAAATTTTAGTACATTAAATCCGTAGTTAATTTTAGAATAATTTATTTATTTAAATTACTTGTCGTAGGCACTAATTCGGATCGACCTACTACTCGAGCTGACTGTAGTAGATGTTATTATCGTCGCTAGCTATCTGTCAAGGTGTGTCTCTGTCGATGCTATAATTAATTCTATGTTTACGTGATTGTTCGATAAGTACTGTTAAATTGAGAGATTGGTTGTTTTGTGAAATTTGTTGAAATTGTTTGCATTAAATTCAGATGAATGTTATGTGTTGTATGTTGATATGTAGGATTAAGAACATAGTTGCATAAATCGCTCAATAGCCCACGATCTACGTACCGTACGCTGCGATCCAAAACGCGGTACGAACGAATTCCAGTTCATTTCAAAATCACGATTCGGTACGACGATCCAAAATTGACTATGGAAGGAGCTATTCATCGTCTTTTTTTTCGATTTTGAAGGTATTAAGTGTGTGTGTGTTTATTTTGAAAGAAAGGAAAAGAAAAAACCGCAAACGAGATTCACCCATCAACCATTATTTAGCAAACAAAAATAAAAAAATACGAGAGAAAAGAAAGAGAAAGGAAAAGAGAAAGATGAAAGCTTATCTGCTTTAGGCGTCAGAAAACTCGAAGGTCACCGCATTCAAAAAGGGTCGAGAGGTAATTTCTTAGATCTAAGGTTTTTTTTCTTGGTTTTTGGGGAAAAGGGTTCTAGATCTAAGTATAGGAGGTTGAGAGGGTTGTTTTGGGCCTTTTATGTCAAGTTCCGGCCGTCGTGGATCACGCAGTTGAGTGGCGGTGCTCTCTCTGTCGATAGAGAATGCAGAGAACTCCTAAGTTCTCTTTTTCTGTTTTGTTGAACAAAATGAAGGCTTAGGGTTTTTTGAAACCCAAAAAAGTTATTTATATTACTATGGATACAACATCTTTTAGAACCTGCGTCTAATAGGGGTTTAATCACGTAAAGGCTCCCTTTAGTTTCAAGTTGTTGTGTTTTGGTACTTGCTCAGAGATTCTGTAACTTTCCAATATGGTTCTTAAGTTTTACATGCATTTCATTTCGGTCCCAAGTTTTTTTTATTTATGTTGTTTCAGCCATTTGACCTTCAAGTTTTGCATGTTCTATTTTAGTTATCTTTATACATTAGGTGGCAATATATACACACACTTAATACCTTCGAAATCACGTTCCGGAGCGATCTGAAATGAGTCTACCCCCTCGTACTGAATTTTAGGGACCTAGCGAATTGCGATCCCGTTCCACGTTACCGTACCGGAACGTACCGCGATCCATGTGACTATGATTCGGAATATATATTGTGCATTTGAAATATCTGATTATTATGATATGTCAAACAACGACTGTGTTATGTGTAATGTGTTATTTATTGGATTATGATTATGCTATGTTTTCGGACTCTAGAATCATGTAACTGCATTCTCATTCGAATCAGATCAAAATTCGAATATACGATGTTTCAAGTATATGTTATTCAGATATGTGTCCTTCGGATCGGACCGAATATCATATATATGTGTCATTTGCATATCATATTGGGATGATTTTTGATAGAAGAAGTTTAGTGCATTGATTCAACGGGGTAAATGTCACTTTTTCAGATTTAGAGCCTCTACCTTTGTGGCAGACCCTACTCATATGGTATGTTTGGTTGGTATATAATGTGGTTCTAAACCACTCTTCGGATGGTGTGTTAGGAGTAAGGGCGAGTACATGAGCATTTGCATCACATTTAAACAATCATTACCGTTTATGTTTTGGCTTATGAATATTACTGTAAATGCTTCGGACTATGCTTTTACTTGTGATTGATTGCACTTTATGGACACGCTAAACCTTGTAACTAAATCCATATAGTTTCTCTTTCAAATACTTGGACTTGAGACATTCGATACTTGGAGAATCACATTCAATATTCAATTAAAAACATTATTTCAATATGAATTTTTATTTGACATTTCTTTATCGATTTTTTATATTATTTTTGGATTATCTAATTTTTAAATTTGAGTCTTTGTACATTACAATATTTTGAAACATTTCTGCATGATTTAGAAATAATTATTGTTTATATAAAATTTTTCTTCGAATATTTTACTTTAATAAATTATGAATTATTAAATTGGGATTTGTTACTTTAAATATTATTTTAAGTATGAACTGCATACTAGGGGGAAATTGATTTAAATTAGCTCTATAGATTCAACTTAATTTCTTTAAGGTCGGATTTAGGGGTTACACATGTGGTTGCCACCGCTGGTCCGACCAGTTTGATTCGTCTTAACACATTTTTAATATGTATTGCGAGAGAGATCATTGTCAAACATAAGGAAAAAAATGCCAAATTGCAGAGATAAAATCTGCAAATATGAAATTATTTTCCAGATCAAATGTTGTTCACATCTTCCAAGAGATTTCTGAATCTATACTCTGGATATGGGATGTTCCCCACCCTTATCTTTCTCTATTTTTTCTCCCTAATGTTTCTAATCGTAAGGAGTCGTTGATACTTACAATGATTTTGTTTTCCCTGTCCATTAGCATATGAGGAGGCTTAGCTCTCTTAACTGCACACCAGATTCGATTGGACACGATATCATCATGAAAACCAAACTCAAAGATGTATTCTTCCACTCATTCCTGGGCCTACACAATTATTGTTTTAAGTCATGTTCTATTAAAATATGACTCTTTTTCAACTACATTGTAGGCAGGAATTATACACAGAGGAACTAAATGACTAACCTCGACTCTGAAGAGAACACTACCGTCTGAAACTTGCTGACCAGCACTGACTTTAAGCCCTTCAACAAAGCCGGCAGATGTTGCCTTTACCACATGCTGTCAAATAAAGCAACTTTTAGTAACCATAAATAACATATTGTTGCAGCTGTTATGGGTAAACAGTAATACAAACCTCCATCTTCATGGCTTCTAGGACTAATACAGGTTGTCCAACTTCCACCTTCGCTCCATCCTCTTCTAGAACCTTAACAACTAAACCAGCCATGGGTGCCACTACAGTTCCAGGAGGGTGGCAGATGTGCTCAAAACTCGTCTTATGCTGTTTTTCATCTTCATCGGACAACTCAAGACCTAGTTTCTGTCTGAAATGATGGTGGTGCAGCCCATGCCATATATGCATGTGTTCGATCTGACCCTGTAACCCCAGATAATAGGATTTTACATGATTTTATCAGAGAGAAAGAACAACCTCAGAATTTTCTGCACTCTAGTTATACTAGATAAAATCTACGGTCATACGCATGCCTGTCATACCTAATATGCTAGGTTGCATGGATTTGGGTACAAGGTCAGACATAGTCTGTCTGAAAAGGTATACCACACATTTGGAGGGGCACCCTCTACCCTCAGAATTTTCTTCTATTTACCATGCATTGGAACTTAATGATAATTGAGAAGTCAGAGCAACATAGCCAATAGCTACAGATGACAACCAGATAAATTTTACAAGTTATTTTCACAAATTAATTGAATCCTTCAAGAGGTTACAAGACTATATATGTAGGCTTGAAAAACCAAGGATTCATCACTGGCAAGATCAAATCCCATATGATCAACCACGCATCAGAACTTCAATTTAGATTGAATAGGCAAATAGAAGAAAACAGTGACACCCTAAAATGTAAAAAATGGTTAAAGATTGTTGCAGAGAAAACATTCACCTTGGTGTAAACAGCTAAACTAACATCCATGGTTACACCATCAGCCTCAACTCTAAAATTATCGTTGCCAAGATTTGATGCTTTGACTTCCAAGGTGTAGTCACTGTTTTCTCCAATCTGTAGATGCTGCTACAAAATCATTAATCACGTCAAAAAGGAAATGGAACAATGGGCAGGAAGTGAGACAAAATAAATATAAAAAGGGAAAACAAAAAAGAGAGTTAAGAAAAGGCACTTTGAACGAAAAACAATTCCAAAACTGAAATATCTTTAACATGCGTCTTGCACTTTAGGTTAGTAAAAACCTGAATTAAATAGTTTCCATCTGGATGATAAGTGACAGAAAGCATTAAATTCTTTGAACCACTGCTATCATATTCATTTTCCCACTCAAGTTCCATGATACTCTTAGCATGATGATTGACTCTGAACGGAGGATGAGTATACCATATGGGAAGTAAGCTAGGATCCCCTGAACACAATCGCAAGTTGTAAATACTAAGAAGATGCAAAGCAACTAGTAATGATTCCATGATAAAATCTAAAGTATCAACTTACCAGAATGACTTTCTTTCAAAGCAGAATGCTTATCGCAGAGGCATGCAGCTACCAGCTTTGCTCCGAATCTAGCTGCACCATATGCTTCCTCATAACTTACTTTGTTATTAGGATCAACAAATAGATCATCTTTATGGTGCTCAATAAAATGGGTTTCTACATTGCCCTCTTCAAATGCCTTATTGTTAGCAAGTTTTTGTAGGAAATTGATATTAGTTGGCACCCCTGCAACCTGCAAAAGAACAAATGATGAGAACCGAAATATAATAACAGTAATTCTTAAAGAAAAAAATGGCATGAGAATATGCTACGTAGTCAAATTAATAGTATGATTTACCAACATTTAGAAGCCATGATAGAAGAGATGATCCATAGAAATCATTAAATTAAGCCAAAAAAAACAAAAGTTGCCCGTGAAACAGTATAATTGCATCACTATTACACCCATATACAAATTCAACGTGGTTACATGAAGAACCATCAATTATCTCCAAACCATTCATTATCCAATCTTCATTTTACGCTTAAAAGCATTTAAAAAGATATCCTTTTGTGTTAATCAATGGCCATGCAAAGGTGAGAGGTTCATCTCATGGGGTACTCACCATAAAATTGGAGCCAAGTTCATGATTGGGCATACATTATAGCACCAATTATGTATTCTTTCAAAGTAAGTTTAGAACTAAATTTCTCAAAAAAATTATACCTGAAACTTTGACAAGCAATCCTTCAATTTGACTAGTGCTGCAGCACGGTTTTCTCCCCATACTACAAGCTTTGCAATCATGGGATCATAATGCATGCTAACAACATCTCCTTGTTCAACTCCAGTCTCAACCCGAACTGTTAATAGAGAGATCAAAACAAGCAGAAAAAGGGAGAACAAAAAAGGGAATAAAATTTGCAGGCTTTGAGGGGGTGTTATCCTCAATTTAGGACAAATGGCTACATGATTCAACAATGATCTTATTTTTTCTTTTCTTTCCAAGAGTAAAAAATGGATAGAAAATATCAAACTGAAGGATGGCCTGGTATTGCCAGAGGGAAACAACTATGTCCAAGAATCCTCCAGAGGTGAATCAACAAGAAGATACTACCTAATAATCTGACATAACTCCTCCAATGTGGCTCTTTTTACTATTAGGAACAGTCTCCAACAGTTAGGTTGTGTTAATTGTTTTATATATCCAAGAAACTGGATCCCGAGTAAAGCATAATAACGTCACCTGTTGAAGAAGGTGGTACCGGATGATAATGATGAAGAAGTCCAGTTGCAGGAAGAAATCCTTTGGGAACATTTTCAGCATAGATTCTGGCTTCAAAAGCATGACCTGTCAAATAATGATCAATCACAAATCCGTGAAGATGGATCCTTAAATGGATATCATAAATATCAATTAATGGTAACGCCAAATTCAGTTTCAAAAAAATAAATAAGTAGAATAGAATACACCATAGCAATCGATATTTTGTTTAGAGATCTGCAGGACATGTTATAGACAATGTTTCAGCATTCAAAAGAATGTTTCATAACTTGAAAGAACCTCATCATATATGTTTCACCATTGATATTGATCATCCGATATTACTATTTCCACAGTTAACATGAGTATGTAATAAATTTTAAGCATCATATATGATCAGATAAACTTTAACTTGTCAACAAGTTTTAAGCATGCATGTAATAAATTTTGCATTAGCATATATGATCAAATAAACATTGAGGCCAAAACTTATACTTATATCGAAGAACAATAACAACTACTACCAATACCATTACCAAAAAGGAGCATATATTAAACCAAAGCGTTTGCCCAGTCAATTCCTCAATGATAATAAAAGCGGGC